CACCACTGTGTGTATATATATATATATATATATATATATATACTGTATTTTTTTTTTTACTTTACATACTAAAATATGTACCTAAATAATTAGACAATTTAATAATTAATTAAACACAATTTAATTGAATAATGAAAATAAGAAATATTTAAATTGAGTTGTTTTAGCTGATTTTAAACCTTTTTTTGTCTTATTTTAAGTCATCTCGAGACCCCCTTGGAAGTTCCTTAGTTTGGTATTCGTACACTATTCCTGGCCTTGGGTCTCATTTTGGTCAACTTCAATTGTGGTTTCAGTAAACTATCCATTCACACTGTTGTTTTTTGGACTTGACTTTAGGTTGCCCCTCAAGTCAGAGTTCACACTCTAATAAAAAATAAAGGTTATTTTTTGGCATTTATGGTTCCATGAAAAACCTTTAACATCCATGGAACCTTTCCATTCCACAAAAGGTTTGTTATAGTAAAAAAAGGTTCTTCAGATTATTGAAATGTTCTTCACACTAAGAAAAAGTGGTTCATAACATGGCACTTCTAGTCCAAAAATGGACTTATAGACAAATATTTTGCAGAAGCAGCATAACCCTGATGTTGTTGTGCTGCATTGGAACGATGCAGTATATAAGCAAACCACACAATGCTCAAAACACACTGAATTCACATAAGATAAAGTTGTTGCTGTTTTAAGAAACTGCTGACACAAAGATTGTGCATGTGAACAGCAGAGCACCACTGAACAGCCACACAAACAGCAAATCTGACCTGAATTGTTATGATCCTTTCATATATTCAATATATTAATGAAATAACGTTTTGATGCTTCTAGACAATGAGATATCTTTTCTACAAATGTAAGTTGAGATGTTGTGCAATAGTGAGAGCTTTTGCACAACATCTCAACTTACATTTGTAGAAAATATATTTCATTGTCTAGAAAACCCACTCACAGCATTACATTAAGCTAGGATTAAATATGACCCTTGGTTAACAATTTCAAGTGTAATCCCATTAGTTCAGCTCTCAATTAAAACCTTTTTACATCATTTTATGATTGCATTTTATTTTATTTTGTAATAAGCCTCAGTGGAATGTACAGTGGGCACGGAAAGTATTCAGACCCCCTTAAATTTTTCAACCGGAATGGCAGAGGATCCCCAAATCCAGGTGTGAAAAACTTGTTGCATCTTTCCCAAAAAGACTCATGGCTGTATTAGATCAAAAGGGTACTTCTACTAAATACTGAGCAAAGGGTCTGAATACTTAGGACCATGGGATATTTCAGTTTTTCTTTTTTAATTCTGCAAAAATGTCAACAATTCTGTGTTTTTCTGTCAATATGGGGTGCTGTGTGTACATTAATGAGGAAAAAATATGAACTTAAATGATTTTAGCAAATGGCTGCAATATAACAAAGAGTGAAAAATGTAAGGGGGTCTGAATACTTTCCGTACCCACTGTATCTTTAAACTTATGAACTTTAACCTTGTATCATTCTCTCATTTACTTCCTTCTCTACGTTTCCTCCCACCTGTATGTGTGCATAGTGTGTGTGTGTGTGTGTGTGTGTGCTGGTATATATGGTTTATGAGGACACAAATGTGTATAATGGCATGGGTACTACAATGTAAACATGGTTTATGAGGACACTTCCAGTATCCCCGTAAAACAAAATGCTTAAAAAACATACAAAACGGTGTTTTATGAAATTCAAAAATTGTCAGTAGTTTTCTGTAAGGGGTAGATTTAGGTGTAGGGTTGGTGTATGGTGATAGAAAATACAGTTCTTACAGTATAAAAACCATTACACCTATGACGAGTCCCCGTAAACCACAAATGCAAGTATGTGTGTGTGTATGTGTGTGTGTGTGTGTGTGTGTGTGTGCATACTTAAGGGAGGGGACTCATGTTCCTTGGTACTGGACGATGTGACCACATCACTTAGCCACACACACATTGCTAGATTCCAAGAAATAAGTAGGTTAGACTTACTGTCATTTTCACTGAAAACACACACACTAATGTACAGAACACATACATTTTGAGTTTCAGCTTAGGAACCTGCAAACATGCCAGAAATGCAACAAAACCTCTCACTATCTTAAGCCACAAGACTCTGGACCAGAACATACAAGTGAACATGAAACAAAAATCCCATCCCTCACCCTATCTTATTTCAAAATGCATATTATTGATCTTATTATATGAACAATTCATCAATGCACAATGTTTAATCAGAATATATTAACTGGATCGTCCAGTGAAACAACAGAATTCTGTCTGGTGACATACGCTGGACTTCTCCAATATTCTTTTCATTCACATTTTTTAAACGCCGTCCCTTTCTTACAATTAATCAGAAGCTTGCATTCAGATCCGCCTCCATCCACTCAACAATGCAGATGGAAGGCCCTGTTCTACAGTGTTTTCTTTTGATAATCTTTTTCACTTGAATGTACACCATAATACAGAAGAAAAAATCTGCCACTGTTTCTGTTACATTGCAGTTTTAAACACTAATGTATTTTAAAACCTGTCCCTTTGCATATGGTTTGTGATATTATTGTTAAATACACTGTAATCTCACTTTTAATGCTGTGCATGCGTGTGTTAGCTACATTTTCTAAATGTCCCCAGTATAAAACCTGAAATCAGCTACGTTTCAGGGACCTGACAAAACCCAACAGTCGTTGCGAAGAAAAAAACATAATAAACTTACTAAATGATGTTTTGGGGAAAAGAAAATATCATTAACCTAGTATACAAATAGACACCAAGTTCCTAACACGACAAAAATATGCGTATATCCTATAAAAATAAAATACTAAAATATATTTGAAAATACATTTATTTCATGCTAACTATACTACAAATACATTTACATATTATGTACGTAATAAAAAAAAAACTATAATTGTTCTTTTAGTATACTAAACTGTTATACTTAAAGTCTGCTAAATTGCTTATTGGAATAACTTAATTTTGTGCTTAATACACTTTAATTGTGCTGAAGTCCAACTAAAGATGAACTGTATATTTATATATTGTGCCAAAGTGGGACTATTGCAAGTATACTTCAGACATACTTTAAATATCTTGCATTTAAAGATGGATAATATTCAAAGATCATACAATCCTCATCAATAGTGACACTGAAACACATTTTAGGCTTAATATCAAGAAATGTGCATTGTGCACAAGTAGTACTCCAAATAAAGTTTAATTATAATTTGAATGTCAGTAATTCTCAAGCTGTATATGTGTTACTAGATTTAAACTATACTTAGTATGAAATAAATGTATTTTAAATATATTCACGTTCATATGTGTCTGTGTGCACAGCACAACAGTAGAGCTACACTTACCTCTACACATACCTCTCTCTTTCCTTCTCTCCTTCTGTTCATTAGATTAGGATTTCTTAATGTGGCTTTCAGGGATTATCTTTAGTCTGTTCCAAAACCAGTGTGTGTTTGTGTTTCAGCAGCTTTGTGTATTTATACTTCTGTGTATTTGCACTTGTACACTTGTTTACTGTGAGTGTGTATTTAACATTTCTTGTGTTTCATTTCTTCATATTAATTAGTCTACTCCTCCATCACAAGATACTGTACCTATTTTAACATCTTAAAGCATTAACACACATCTTAAACCACTTAAAAGTTTGGTATGTCTGTGCTTTTTTTGAATGTCATTATTGATAAATGGTTCAGTTAATTTTGGGTTAAGTAAAAATTATATAATCATTATACTTTTTAAAATATGTTTATATATGTACCATCATTCAAACATTAGAATTTGATACAATTTTAAATTTTGCATGTCACCTATGTTTACCAAGGTATCTAAAATACAATGAAAACAGCTGTATTGTGAGATATGATTATAGTTTCAACACTTTCGTTTTAATATATTTTCAAAGCAGCTATTACTCCAGTCTTCAGTGTCATGTGATCCTTCAGAAATCATCTAATATGCTGATCTGGTGCTCAAGAAACATTATTATAACGTTATTATCAATGTATTTTTTCAGTATTCTTGAATAGATAAATAGAAAGTTCAACATAACAGCATTTATTTGAAATGGAAATATTTTGCAACATTATAAATATCTTTAAACTGTCACTTTAGATCAATTAAATGCATCCTTGCTGAATGAAAGTATTCATTAATAAAAATAATTTTTAATAATAAATATAAAATTACATTTTCAGTAAAAAAAAAACAAAACTAACAATTATTTTATCTGGACTGTGCTGACCTCTGCTGGCTAGAATTATAATCTGAATAATAGCGTTGGAAATTATTTAAATAAACTGTGACAGCTCAACACATTTATGTTAAAACACATGATCAAGGCTTTAATGTTTGTGTTGTTATTGTTCTGTTTGTGTCTATAGCTCAGATTGAGGTGATCCCATGTAAGATCTGTGGAGATAAATCATCAGGGGTTCATTATGGAGTTATCACTTGTGAGGGCTGCAAGGTAAGAAAAAGGGGAAAAAATACTTTTATAATTTGAATGTCAGTAATTCTCAAGCTGTATATGTGTTACTAGATTTAAACTATACTTAGTATGAAATAAATGTATTTTAAATATATTCACGTTCATATGTGTCTGTGTGCACAGCACAACAGTAGAGCTACACTTACCTCTACACATACCTCTCTCTTTCCTTCTCTCCTTCTGTTCATTAGATTAGGATTTCTTAATGTGGCTTTCAGGGATTATCTTTAGTCTGTTCCAAAACCAGTGTGTGTTTGTGTTTCAGCAGCTTTGTGTATTTATACTTCTGTGTATTTGCACTTGTACACTTGTTTACTGTGAGTGTGTATTTAACATTTCTTGTGTTTCATTTCTTCATATTAATTAGTCTACTCCTCCATCACAAGATACTGTACCTATTTTAACATCTTAAAGCATTAACACACATCTTAAACCACTTAAAAGTTTGGTATGTCTGTGCTTTTTTTGAATGTCATTATTGATAAATGGTTCAGTTAATTTTGGGTTAAGTAAAAATTATATAATCATTATACTTTTTAAAATATGTTTATATATGTACCATCATTCAAACATTAGAATTTGATACAATTTTAAATTTTGCATGTCACCTATGTTTACCAAGGTATCTAAAATACAATGAAAACAGCTGTATTGTGAGATATGATTATAGTTTCAACACTTTCGTTTTAATATATTTTCAAAGCAGCTATTACTCCAGTCTTCAGTGTCATGTGATCCTTCAGAAATCATCTAATATGCTGATCTGGTGCTCAAGAAACATTATTATAACGTTATTATCAATGTATTTTTTCAGTATTCTTGAATAGATAAATAGAAAGTTCAACATAACAGCATTTATTTGAAATGGAAATATTTTGCAACATTATAAATATCTTTAAACTGTCACTTTAGATCAATTAAATGCATCCTTGCTGAATGAAAGTATTCATTAATAAAAATAATTTTTAATAATAAATATAAAATTACATTTTCAGTAAAAAAAAAACAAAACTAACAATTATTTTATCTGGACTGTGCTGACCTCTGCTGGCTAGAATTATAATCTGAATAATAGCGTTGGAAATTATTTAAATAAACTGTGACAGCTCAACACATTTATGTTAAAACACATGATCAAGGCTTTAATGTTTGTGTTGTTATTGTTCTGTTTGTGTCTATAGCTCAGATTGAGGTGATCCCATGTAAGATCTGTGGAGATAAATCATCAGGGGTTCATTATGGAGTTATCACTTGTGAGGGCTGCAAGGTAAGAAAAATGAAAAATGACTTTGCTAATGTCAAATATTCATAATTTTGCTTCTTTAGTACACTCCCCCTAATTGTTCTACACCCCACCGACCCACCGCTTTCTGCCTCTACAGGGCTTCTTCCGCAGAAGTCAGTCCTCCAGCGTGCAATACTCCTGCTCCAGACAGAGCAACTGCCCTATTGACCGTGCCAGCCGTAACCGCTGCCAGAGCTGCCGTCTCAAAAAATGTGTCGCTCAGGGAATGAGCCGCGATGGTAAGAAAGGACGGATTGAAGAATGCTTGAATGGATGATATAGAATGATTAATTCCATCTTTTTTGTGATGTTTGTGATGTTCCCTCAGCGGTGAAGTTTGGCCGGATGTCTAAGCGCCAGAGAGACTCTCTGTTTGCAGAAGTTGAGAGACACCGGCAGCAGCAGCGACTTCAGGCCAACTCAGTCCAAGAGCCCCAGCCTCTTCCAGCCTACCGATCCAGCAAAGAGCCCAGAGAACAGTCATCACATCTCATCCCAGCTCTACCTCCAGCTTACCCTTACTCTGTAGAGCCTGAACTGCAAGGCTGCCCTCCAGAGGTGCATCCATACCTGGATTGTCGCATAGGCGAGGCCCAGGCTCAGAGTCTGGCCTACAGGGGCTCCCACAGGAGAGGTGAGTGCAACAGCTTGTCAGCTGGGAGATGTGAGAATTTCTCCACTGTAGGAAGTACTTTTCATCTCAAATTATATTGTGGTGTATAGTTTTCTTTCTCTCTTTCAGGATTTGACTCCACAACGTCTACACCAGAGGCTATTCTGAACATGAGCGGCAGTGAAGTGGGCATTCGTCCTTTTGACCCTGAGAGTTCGTTCTTTTCTTACCCGACATCTCTGCACATAGGTGAGAACCACAAGATTCATGAGAGCTACATGGTGTTATAAAGTGGTTTAGAGGGATAGTTCACCCAAAAATTTAAATTCTGTCATTAATTACTCACCCTCATGTCGTTCCAAAACTGTAAGACCTCCGTTCATCTTCAGAACACAAATTAAGATATTTCTGATTCATTCTGAAAGCTCTCTGACCCTGCATAGACAGATCCTTACACGATCAAGGCTCAGAAACGTAGCAAGGAGATTGGTAAAATAATCCATGTGACATCAGTGTTTCAACAGTAATTTTGCAAAGCTGCGAGAATACTTTTTGTGCGCAAAGAAATAAAAAATAACGACTTTATTAAACACCGATCTCCTTGCTACGTTTCTGAGCCTTGATCGTGTAAGGATCTGTCTATGGGAGGGTCAGAGAGCTCTCAGATTCCATCAAAAATATCTTAATTTGTGTTCTGAAGATGAATGAAGGTCTTACAGTTTTGGAACGACATGAGGGTGAGTAATTAACGACATAATTTTTAATTTTTGGGTGAACTATCCCTTTAACAGAGTTAAAGTGTTCTCACATTTCGATAATGTGATCACACCTTTAGGAGTTGTACTAAGTGGTGTTGTACTGTTTAACTTTTGGATTAACATCTCTCTTTGTGTTTGTTGACAGAGGAGCTCTCTGCAAGTATCGTACGTTCCCACAGAGAGACGACTCAGTATCGACCGGAGGAGCTGCAGGCTCTCAGATGGAAGGTTTTTAGCAGGGAGGAGATCCACGCTTACCAGAGCAAAGTACATGTTCTCTACTCTTATGTATCTAGCACAGCTGTAACTGATGACAATGTGAAACAGTGTGTCATTAGTCAAACATTCCTCTTTGTGATTTAATTAATTACAAATCTCAATGGACCCTTTTCACAAGCGTCGTAAATCCTCGAAAGTTTTTCATATTTGTATTTTTTTTTTAAATGTATGTACTTTATAACACTATTCTTTGTATTATATTATCTTTGCATCAAATTACAAAAAAACTAGCTTACGCTAATGCGAGGGTGTTTGTAATGCAGCGCCTATGGGAGGGACGGTAAGTTTGACATCGTTCTCACTGCCGTTGTCAATCTCTCTCAGTTTTTTTCCTTTTATTGAAAGTCGTGAAAACACTAGCGCAGAGTTTTTCTTTTGCTATTTGAACAAATGGGAATCCCATTCACTGCACTTCAAGTTAACCCAACTAGGATGACTTTCGCTGCTGAGAAACCCGAAAATATGAAAAAGGTCCACCGTGAGATGTGAAGTTGTAGAAATAATTGCGATTATGAGAAATCTATTTCTCAGTTGTGAGAAATAAAGTCGTAATTGAGGAAAAGTTTTGCGTTTTTTTTTATTGTAAAGGTACTGATACTTCAAGCTAAATTAAAGAATGAATAAGTGTCATGTCATTTCAACCTAAATCAAACAAAGTGTTTTGATGTTTCGAAACAGCTCACCAGTGCAAACTTTCTGGAAACCTTCAAGCTGACTGTTAAACACCTTTGAACAGCCATTGGTCCATAGCAATTAGCTTTTATTTATTTATTTATTTTTCAAATGTGATGTAATTTCTAACAAAAGCTGGTCAAACAAAGTGTTCAAAGTTCTTGTTGGTTTATCGAAACAACTCGCCAATGCAAAATTTGTGGAAACCTTCAAGCTGACTGTTAAACACATTTGAACTGGGTTCATTGACCATTGACCATTCATTGATTTCATTGGTCTGATTCATGATATTTTTTCAATCTCGTTAAACGAAGTGTTCTGAGTTGACTGTTGACAAGTTGAATGCTAATCAACTTTGAACTGCCATCAGACACGAGTAAAATCATGAAGGGCTGAATTGCAGAGCTGGTGCAAACATATCCACATCTCTATGATCACTCATATACAGCCTTTAAAGATGACCTGGAATTCCTGGAAATGTCTGCAATTTTGTTGTATAATTAGGAGGACAGTGTGCACACATATTTAAATATTAATACCAGCATTTCAGAATGTCTGCAAATGGCAAACATGAGTGAAGAAAATATATTGGGGACTTTAGGCTTCATTCAAAAACATTTCAGTCCAACTTTTGACTTGTAGTGTGGATATCTAAATAGTCTCCACTCACTCTCACCCTTCTCACTTTCTCTATCTCTTCTTCCTCTCTCTCTGCAGTCGGTGGATGAGATGTGGCAGCACTGTGCGTTGCGGTTGACCGATGCTGTTCAGTACGTGGTGGAGTTTGCTAAACGTATCCCTGGATTCCGCCAGCTTGGTCAGAATGATCAAATTGCTCTCCTCAAGAGTGGTGAGATACAGCTTTCCGTACAACATACTAGTTAATCAGTTACATCTGGTAAGGTTTACAAGGTTTATAGCTCCATTCTCATCTCTCTGTCCGGTTTCTATCTCTCAAATACCTGTCACTTTTCTGGCTTTGTCTTCTCCTCTTTCTATAATTCTGTGTATGTTGCTCTCTCCTCTCTGCCGCCTTCTGTGCGTGCCTTTCTCTCTTTCTTATTAGGGTCCATGGAAGTGGTTCTGGTCCGGATGAGTCGGATGTTTAACACAGAAAACAACACAGTATTCTTTGACGGCAAATTTGCAGGAACGGAACTTTTCAAATCCCTTGGTGAGTTAAAAGAATATTTTGATTTACAGCAATCGCCCCATAGACTTCCAGTGTAAGAGCATTTTTGTCAACTTATTTTTAAAAACCTGAATTTAATCATATTTGTCTAATACCTTGTGAATAATACTAAGTACTAATAACAAATTATATATTATAAAAGAATATACCTGTTGCAAACTGGATCAAATGTTTTTGGGAACTTAAATGCATGTTCATTTCAATTAAATTAAGTTGTAGTTACATACATGTAGTTTAAATTTAGGCTGCACTTTATTTCATGGAGAGATTTGAGAGATTATACATCATCTGAAAGCTGAATAAATAGGCTTTCCATTGGTGTATGGTTTGTTAGGATAGGACAATATTTGGCCGAGATACAACTATTTGTTTTGTGGTCCAGGGTCATATGTGGTTATAGTTAGGATAAGGGTTTGTCTTAGGGTTACTTGCATGTAATTATGCATAATTTATTGTTATTATAATAGTAAGTACATGTAATATGTGTAACAAGGACACCTTAAAATAAAGTTTTACCTACATTTATATCAAATGCAAGTAGCGTAACTTTAGAGTCCAAATTTTTGACCAACTTAAGTAGTACTTAAATACTTCTTCATATGTAATTGCATAATTATATCGCCTTTGAAATGTGGTTAAAGTGTACTGCTGAATGTACTGACAAAGATTTATGGTAAACTAAAATATACTTTAATGTAATTTCTGTTGAAACTTGTGTGTCATATGTTTAAATGATTTGGAATGCTTTTGTATAATGAAGAAGTCGCAATTTTATATTTTTAAAAAGTATTAACTTTAACTATTAAACGCTTTAGTATATTAGTCACCCATCAGTATAAGTGTACTTTTTTAAAGCACAACAGACAATAATAAAACAATTATAATCTCAAATTTTAAGTAAAACTTTTAATTTGACATTATTACAAAGTGCACTTTTCAGAAGTGTAGTTAAATGTGTTAAGAAACAGTCATGAAAGTGCACTTAAGTTGCCTTTTATTCCATTAAAGGGGTCATATGATGTTTTTTTAAAGATCATTATTTTGTGTATTTGGTGTAACAGAATATGTTGACGTGCTTTAATGTTCAAAAAACACATTATTTTTCAAATACTGTACATTGTTGTAGGTCTTCTATGCCCCGCCTCTCTCAAACGCTTCGTTTTCAACAAAGTCCCTCCTTCTGACAAGCGCAGTCTGCTCTGATTGGCCAGCTGACCCAGTGCATTGTGATAGGCCGAACATCGCAAGCACTCGTCGGAAATGTAACTCCCCTTACCATAATCGCGAGCTTCATCTTTCATAAATAATGTCATTAGTTTTACCATCAGTTCAAGCCCTAAAGGGCAACAGACACAGTAATGATGCAGTACACAAGCCGCGGTTAAGACAGCTGACTCTGTGATGTGACCCTGTCTCCCTCTCTCTCTCTCACACACACGCGTGCACACACACACGCACACACACACGATGCGCAAAACTCCGCATTTGAATCGCATCATATGACCCCTTTAATATTATACGCAAGTACACATTCTATACAATTACACTCCCTTTTCACAAGGAATAATTACTCACTGACATTGTGACTTATTATCACTTTTAACATTTTATCTTCCAAAAGTTAATGGCGATGTAATTCGAACTGTTTTTGAATGTCTGTGTTTGTTCTCCAGCATGTGGTGATCTGATAGCTGCTGTATTCGACTTTGCTCACAATCTGTGTGCGCTGAGACTGACTGAACAGCAGATGGCAGTGTTCACTGCACTGGTCCTCCTCAATGCAGGTGAGCACAGCAAAACCACATTACTGCAGAAACTCTGACTTTAAAGTAGAATAGGCTTAATCTCTCAATCTTTCTCTCCACTTTGAGTAGACCGACCGTGTCTGGAGGACAGAGAACGAGTGCAGAGAGCCAGGAGAGATGTGGAGCTTGCCCTTAGTCACATTCTGCACAGAGACAATCAGGAGAGTCTACTACATAAGGTAAAAGAGATGGAGAAAAAGGATTTAAATACAGAAAGTAAAGAAATATATCGGCTTTAATGTTGTGGTTTTGTATGTTCCTAGCTGTATCAAAGAGTCCAGGTGCTGAAGTCTCTGTGTGCACTGCATATTGAGAAACTGCGATGGTTCCGGCAGCTTTACCCTCTCACGGTGCATTCCCTCTTCCCTCCGCTATACAAAGAGCTGTTCGGCTCTGACACAGATATACAGACGCTGACTACTCATTGAACACACACACAGGCACATTTCATTTGCAAATGTAGACAACACACACACACACAGTTACAAATAGTGTATGCAATCTAGATCTAAATATATTATTTACCTGCTGAAGAAATCAAATATATTTTTGTAACTCTCAGAAGAACAGAAAATAATATTAACAGACGTATGCAGTATTTTGTAGGCCAAAAGCAAAATATTACTACAAATGCTATTCAGTTTGAGTATTCTTGAGGTTTTTTTTGTTTGTCTGAGGATGTATTTGAATGTTTTTGAAGTTGTTGATGATCCTAGCTGTTATAAAGGAGCTTTATCTCTGATCGTTAGAATGTGATTTCTAAAGCTGATCAGTTTTGAGACCAGCAAACAGCAGATTACAAATGATATCTGCAGATCTCAAAGCATCATTGATGAACTGGTAGTGTGATTTTCAAGCTTCATTTACAACATTAGAGTCCCCCCTTCTCTCCTCCTTCTTGATTTCTCAGGCAGTACAGACAGAGACATGAATGCTTAATGACTTCTGCTACTCATAGCCTATTACATTATTGCATTAATTTAAATATGATCTATTTAGACACCTTATGTATCAGCTTTTTTTGTACTCCCCTGCTGTTAAAGCTTGTCTTGGCACTTATAATGCTTATCTTTCATTCATGGATCATGTTCTTGAATTCACCATTCCCTTCAAACAGACCATCTTAAGATAGATGTGTCTTTGGATTTTCTCTGTGTATTCAATCATTTGAAGAATTTATGCTCAAAGGTCTAAAAATGTATAGAATACTTCTATGGAATAAAATATAATGCTCTTATTCAATATGCTTGTGTAGACATTTAGATTGACAACAGTTCTACCTTGTCTTAATTGCACAGTTTAATTTGTGGAAATCTATAAACAAATGTCCATATGTTTATTTGCGGGAGTATGTGAGCTTTATAAATCTGTGTTTATCAAAAGTCTCTGTGCATTTTCCGTCAACGTTCTAGTTTTTATTTTTGGCGCAGTTTCTGTTCCATGTTGTATTTTGCGTCAGCTTTAACTTATCACTCACACAGAGGATGAAACCCTGTTATTCTTTTGTTTTTGTTCTGTTTTGGAGCATAAATACTTGTTTGCTCTCTGTTGTGTTGCTTCGCAGAAAAGGCCTAAAATAAACTTCTGAAAAGTATAAAGGCTGGGACTGTATCCAGGAAAAATATCAAGTGTTTCCCCGTTCCTTTGAATTGTGAGCAAAGACTGAAATCTGTTGTTTTCTGAGTTTTTACTGACTCGTCTGACTCACACAGATGTCATGCAGCCCTCACTGCTCACTTTCTAATTGTTTTTACATGTTTATAGATCTCATAACAACATTATTTGTTAGAATTGCACCAAAACAAATGTGTTTCCACATTTCTCATTTAAAAAAAAGAAAACCAAATTCATTTGGTTTTCGTTAGGTTTAAACACATGATCATCTGAATCACAGCAGACTAGAAAGGCTTTGTTATACGCAAGCACGATGGGGTGAATTTATCCTTAAGAGACCCTTAAAACCGACTAGGGAATAATAGGGGAAAGACCATCTAAATCTTTGCTGCCTCACTGTCCGGTCAGTCTATGACTTCACAGGATTGTCTATTTGTGTGAGAACTCCTCAGAACTCTGGTTTCATGACATCAAGTGACCTTAACCAGAATGTAGGTGAGCTATAGTCCTAACCAGACAAATATTTCATGGCTACAATGCTTATTTCTTGGGAGAAATTGAATCATAATTAATTTAATTCTTTTAATCACTCCATCAGTCACCTTTTGTTTTTTTTACAACCAACTGCCCTGTGCACGCACAGGATTGTGGGATATCATAGGCAGTGAAGGATATCAATGCTGCAATCATGAAGGCACCTCAAAAGTTACAGAAACATCGGATTCCTGTCTTGATGCGGATGCAGCTAATATTTAGTTCAACACCAATGGGATTTTCCAATGAACTTTCTGCAGTTTGAATCATTATTAAAACAACATGGTGACAGACAATGCATATGAATGGATCTCTAAACTATGGAAGCCTGTTTCTGCCACTGAATAAAAAAATAAAAAAGGAAATTGCGACTTTTTATTCAGACTTTTTCAAAGAATTATATTACTTTTGTACAGTTACAATCATTATCTCAATAATGTCGACTAATCATTTTAGCTGTACTTGAATGTTGTTATGAGACACTCAGTGGTTATCCTGATTTGGTTTCATTTAGAAATGTTTTCTTTGTGGAGCAAAACTTTTTTTTTTGAAAAAAAATCTCTGTCCACATGAAAACGCAAAAGCATGCTATGAAGCACTGTCATAAAACAGTGTTGCCAACTATTTGCAATGGAAAGTAGCTAAACCCTGCTTGAAAAGTAGCTAAATGACAAAATAATTTTTCTAATTTAATACAAAGGAGAAGCTGGTAAGTGATTGGTCCATGGCAACACAGCGTGCACATGCGCAGTTCATTCACTGTGTGGTCAATGGAATCAAAGAACGTTGAGTTATGCATATAACTACTGTTCCCAGAAGGAGGTAAACGAGGTACAACACATGACTATGGGATATCACGCTCTTGCGCCATCTGCTGAAGACACCTATATTCACGCCTGAAAGCCAAATGACGCATGACGACGTGGGCGGGGCTACCTGCCCACAGCATATAAATGCAGTCGCATGCATTATTCCCTTTGTTCAGTTCAGCTCTTCACCGTGCCTCCGACTGCGCGGGGCCCAGAGGTAAGCACAGACATAGCTACCGTTGCCACAGTGACATCTAGTCGGTAAAACCGAACAAACGTGTGCTGAGAAATTCTCCCTCTCAGCGGGTAAGCCCACAGAGACCAAAGCCCTGGCCGAGGATACAGAATCTGCCCCCCTGCCTGTGACAGCAGGTCCTTCCACAGGGGAAGACACCACGGCATCCCTGACAGCAACCCCATGATGCTCGTGAACCACGTCTTTGCTGGCCAGCAAGGTGCCACCAGAATCGGCTACAGACCCTCCTGATACACCCGATCTAGAGTGGGCTGTATCAGATCCTCGGGCGGAGGTCCTGGCAGGGTCCTGGGCCATACATGCGACAGAGCATCCACACCCAGGGGAGCGCTCCTGTCTGTGATCGAGAAAAACAGCGGGCAGTGTGTGTTTTCCGCAGACGCAAAAAGATCCACTTCGGCCTTGCCGAACCGATCCCAGATCTGTGTTACTATTCGTGGGTGCAAGCGCCACTCCCTGACCTGCGGACTGCCCCTGGACAGCATGTCCGCCCCAACATTCAGATGGCCCGGGACGTGCACTGCCCTGAGTGATGCTAAACATTCGCTGCTCCACATCAAGAGCTTCAGTGTCAGCTGCAACAGGGGAACAGCCGTAAGCGCTGGGCAAAGTGTTCCAGCACCAGACAAACAGCCTGCAACTTCAAAAAATGTATGTGACGCCATCTTAGCGCCGCTGACCACTTCCCTCTTACAGAGCTCCCCTGGCACAGAGGTCCCCATCCATGCAGAGACGCATCTGTTGACACCACTATACGTGACGTAACCCTGCCCAGGGGAATTCCCTCTGACAACAAAGCGGGGTTTCGCCACGGATTCAGAGCCCGAACACACGACGGCGTAATCGTCACCTGTCTGTTTAAATGCCGTACAGCATTCAACCTCGTGCTCTGCACCCATCTCTGGAATGCATGCATGAAGAGGAGACCCAGCCAGACGACTGCTATCATTGAGGCCATGAGACCCAGCAGTCTCAACACCAAATTTCGTAAAAATGCGCGCCGCTAGGGATAGCCCGAATGGCAGGACTTGAAACACGTATGCAGTCTCCTCAAAGGAGAATCTCAGAAACTTTCTGTGCCCCGGGTGGATTGTGATATGGAAGTATGCATCGGTCAAGTCCACTGATGTAAACCAATCCCGGGGACGCAGGGAGCACAGAAGATGATGCACCGTGAGCATCTTGAACTTGAAACATCTGTGGTGCTTGTTCAACCTCTGCAGACCAGGATAGGCCGTAAGCCCCCGCTTTTCTTTGGGAGGAGGAAGTAGCGGCTGTAAAACCCATCTTCCATTCTCTCCCATGGCACCACTTGAATTGCCCCTTTGCCGAGGAGAACACAGATTTCTTCTCTCAGCACTTGGGAATCCCTTTCCGAAACCGAGTTTGTAATTACTCCACCGAAACAGGGGGGGCATCTTTTCCCTCTGCCGGCACATGGCCCGATTGCAAGGTTAGGGTTTCTAAAACATTTTGCCTCTCTAGACCAATCAACACATGCGTCATTGTATGCTGAACACAAAGTTTTTTTATTGAAAAAGAACTCAAAAGTAAAACCTGCTCTCTTGCAGGGTTTTTTCTTTTGTAAAGAGAGGAGAACACAGCCGTCTCTGGGCCAACATTCCTCCCCCTCCTGCAGGCTAGGGACCAGACTGCCCTTTCTTCCCCGCAGTGAAATGTCCAACTTTCATTGGGGGCGGACCCTTCCTTCCTGGCCCCACCTGCCGCTTAGACTGTGTGCGCACCCGCCCAGTTTCCCAGGCATCAGGCCTTGGTGCTGTCCCTGAAGCCGGCCTTTTGGACTGTCACACTAGTTTTTGAAGTGGATTGCACAACATTGCGTTCTTTTATTCCACTTTGACCTCTCTATCATTGTTATTCTGTCTGTTTCTGTGTATCTGTGCTGTTGTCCAGTTGGAATTTTCACTCCAAAATGGCGGCCGTGCTACCAAAGCGCCACCTAGTGGCTGTTCCCCAAAAAGCATCAGAGTTTTGCCTCTTGGTCTTCTATACTCTTTGATGGAATGCTCACTGAACAGAGCAGACGCTCAGAGGGGTGTGACTGCAGCGGGGAAACAAGACCTCGTGCGGTACTGGTGACATTTAGAGAGTCGCTAAAGTTTGTCCAAAAAGTCGCTAGTCGCTTTTTGGAAAAAAAAGTTGCTAAAGGGATCTGAAAAGTCGCTAAATCTAGTGACAAAGTCGCCAATGCCAAGCCAACAGGTGGCGATATAGGCTGCATCCGAAAACTCTAAAATGCTGCCTTCGGAGGTAGCATTCCAAGGCAGGAAGGCATCAAGGCACATCCGAATCCAAATTCTGCTTTACTTCCTGTCTCCGGCGGTACCTTCTTCTGATCAAATTTTGAAGGCAGCATAGATGTATCCTTCGCTGCCTTTGATATCCCACAATCCTGTGTGTTCCATTCTGTGACGGTTGAGCTAAAAAATAAAGATGGCGTCTGAAAGTTGTGTTTGGTGGTCAGTTTGTGTGTAAATGTATATTTCTGACTAACTTTTGCACTTTTGATGTTATTTCTAGCCAGAAATCAGTATTATAGTAATTAAATATTTGTTTAGTTATTGCAAAAACTCGTTCTATTTTGTTGTAGATCATTAAACTTTTACGCTGTCTCAGAAGCCTGTCCAAAATCAGTTCATT